TCTAAGAAGCAGTGTGGATGCCGCGCCCCATTCTGGCTTACTTGTGCCTAGAGATCCAGAGGAGAGGGCAGGCAGCTCTGAGAAGGATGACCTCCCTTGGCTCTGTTTCTGCTGGTGTCCTGAGCAGTGTCTGTCAGTGGTAGAGGGTTGTACACTTCAGCCTAGTATTGTGCAGTCAAGTGTCTGAGGTCTGTATTGAATCCTCAAAGACTGAGGTTCAAACCCTGACTATGCCTCTCTATAGCTTTCTTCTTCTCCATTAAACCAACAAGCAAGCAGTGAGGCCTGGAAGAATGCAGGAAGGACAGACAACAGGAAGGACAGACAAGCTGTGGCCTTCTTAGAGATCACATACATATGGGGAGGGACAGCAGAGCCAAGCCTCAGTTTCCTCTTCTATGGAACAAGACAGAGAGCTTGTGGAAGGGAAGCAGAAAGCTGGTGAAGGGCCAGGCTATGTGAGGTGAGCAGACACTCTCAGTGTGCTGCAGGGGGACACTCCTGTCATTACTCATGGGTGGCCACCCAGGCTCCTAGAAGGATACCTGCATGTAAGGGTGCCCAGGTGGGCCAATGCTGGCCCTGACCAGTGCACAGGAGGCTTCCAGTTATGGCCTCTAACCTTCATTTAAAGATGATTGGTTCAGTCCTCAGAGCAAGAGTAATCAAATCTGGGAGGTACGTGTCCTCTCAGCTGCAAGGTCTCACTGGGTTACAGAATAAACTTAAGGGTGACCTAGGCAATGTAGTCTCTTTAAAAACAAGCTAGGGACCAGGATGTAGCTCAGTGCTCTTGCCTGACATTCTAGAGGTTATGGGTTCAATCCTCAGTACAGAGAGAGAGAGAGAGAGAGAGAGAGAGAGAGAGAGAGAGAGAACAAAAGAGAAAACTAATAAGCACTATGTATGCAAAAGCAAATGAGTGTTCCAGGACAGGCACATTCCTAAACCTGCAGCCAGAAGCCCTTCCCCTGGACTCCAGGCATCCCGTGCAGAGGTAGGATGAGGACTTCAGGGACGGTGGATTCCTGAGCCCCCAGTACAGGAAGCAAGCTATACCACTGGGTATGACCGACACCCTAGTCATATCACCCTGGTGGTAGCCACAGATCCCCAGCACTGTGCCAGGCCCTCCCTCATGAAGGTGGGGCTGAGCACAGTGGGACTACTCTCATGTGTCATCTGCAATACTGACCTTGCCTTGGTGGCCCAGTGAGAGGCTGGTACTGCTCAGTGTGCCAGCCTGGCCGTGTTGGCACAGTCTCAGCGGAGTGGTGGGTGGCTTGTGGCTTGCCTACATTCCACTGCATTGATCAAAGGTGTTTCTTGTTTGCTGGGTGACTAATTCTGTCACCATCCTGCCCTTCCAAGCCCTCCTCCTCGCACCTAACAGTCATTAGCTGTCTGCTGAGAGGAAGTTCTCAGAAAGGCCCTTTGGCTACGGCAGGCTCCAATGGTGTGTGCGATTATTCCCAACCCAGGAGTGGGGATTGCTGCTAAGCCATAGTTGAAATGAGTGGTGAGAGTACAGCCATGGCTGTCAATCAGGAAGTGTTCCCTAGCAACCCTCAGAGTGGCTCATTCACAAGAATCGGAACCCAGAGTGGGCGAGCTCAAGGCACTATGACAAGGAAAAAACAGTACTCATGATAGCTAGCGTGTATTAGTAACGTCAGTGACGTCGGTAATAGATATTTATTTATTTATTTATTTATTTATTTATTTATTTATATGCCTAAGTCCTGTCAAGGTGGAAGCTTTCATGGAGCTTTTATAATTGTGTGTGTGTGTGTGTGTGTGTGTGTACATGTGTCATTCCTCAGTGTCATTCCTGCTTTCCACATGTGTGCCTTGGGCCCTCAGAGGCTAGAAAAGGGTGTTGGATCCCCCAGGATTAGAGCCACAGATAGTTGTGAGCCACCGTGTGGGTGCTAGGAACTGAACCAAGGTCCTCTGCAAGAGCCTTTGTTGGGACAGGGTCTCTCACTGGTCCGGAGCTTACATCGTAAGTTAGACGGGATAACCAGTGGGACCCAGATGCCTTTCGCTGCCTCCGCAGTGTTGGGATTAGAGGTACACGTCACTGCACCCAGCTGCGTATAGAACTACTGGAGCCTGAACTCTGCCTCATGCTTGCGTGGAAACATTTTACCCACAGAGTGATCTCCCAGGCCCTTTAGTCTGCTCAGACCACAGAAACAAGCGTACCAGAGACAGGAGCAAGGGGCCTTAATGACAGACCTTTCCAGCATTCATAGGATGGGGAACCAAACACAGAGTCTCCCAAGCACCTTTGAGGAAAACTGATTGGAAATAGCAAGGGCAGTCACAAAGATGATCCTGCTTGTGGTTAGACTTCAGGAGGGACTATCACGTGCCAGGCCCTGTGCAGAGCTCCTCAAATATATTAACTATACAGTAGTCTCTTGGGACAGGCCTGTTGTCCTATTTAATTAATTAACTTTAAATTAGCATGAGAGTATTAGGTTTCAGTATGACATCATCAAACATTTTGCTGTCATTGTGAATTCTCCTGCTGTCTCCCCTCCCTCACAGCCGTGTCCCCCCTCACAGTCTTCCACTCCCTTTCTGTTTCTACACTATAAACAAGAACTTTCTGAACTGGGTTCCGATAGCATAAGAAACAGCCCCAAGAGTTAGCTAATAGAAGACTACGTGGAGTTTAAAAGTCACTGCATAACAAAGGAAACTATCGTCAGAGTGCACAGGGAACCTATATGGAATGGGAGAAAACCCTCTGCCAGCTATACCTAGACAAAGGATTAATATCTAGGATATATTAAAAACTTGCACAAATTAAACACCAAAAAGGAAATCTCAGGCATAAAAATACTGACAATCTATAGAGAGTTCCTGAGACAAATAGAAAGTTCTCAAAAGAAGAAACACAAAGGAGCATTTTTAAAGTACTCAGGGCTGGTGAGATGAGTCAGTGGTTAAGAGCCTTGTGTCTCTTTAGAGGACCTGGGTTTGGCTCCCAGTTCCCACATGGCGGCTTGCAACTGTCTATAACTTCAGTTTCAGGGGATTCCGTACCCTCTTCTGATCTCCTGGGGCACCAGGTGTACACAGGATGGAGAGAGAGATGGGGGGAGAAGGAGGGAGGGAAGGAGAGAGAGAGAGAGAGAGAGAGAGAGAGAGAGAGAGAGAGAGAGAGAGAGGAGAGAGAGATCTCACTTATTTAAAAATTAGATTTTTTTAAAAAGGTATTCAGTAGCCTGAGCCATCAGACATATGTAAATTAAAATCTCATCACTATCCTCATCCCATAAATGAGGAGGCATGGGCTCAGGGAGGCTTAGGAACTGGTCCACAGTCGTGTTTCTCAGTGTGTAGTGAGCACAAGCTGACTGTAAGTTCCAGAGCACACTTTGCAATCCCGTGCTCACCTAGAGCAGTGGTTCTCAACTTTCCTAAGTCTGCAACCTTTTGTTACAGTTCCTCATGTTGCGGTCACCCAACCAGGAAATCATTTCAGATGCTACTTCATAACTTTAATTTTGCTGCTGTTATGAATCGTCGTGCAGCTGTGTTGGCCAATGGGTTGGGGGGTCGCGACCTATAGGTTGAGAACCGCTGGCCTGGCGCTCTCCGCACCGGCTTGTGTGAATTCCCCAGACCCGTGAAGCATGGCTGTCACTCTTGCGTTATTAGTCGCAGCACTGTTGGCCCCTGAGGGGCCTTGCCACCCTCTCCCAGCTGTCAGATCTTCATTCCAAACCGCTCCCTCCCACCCCGCTCCGCCGAGGTCATTCGAACCAAGCCGTCTCTGTTGTACTTATATCTGCCAGTAGGTGGCAGTAAGCCTTCTCCTTCGCTTTGATTTAAGCGCTGTGTTTAGAACAGTTGATGGACAGCTTTCGAGAAAGCGGTGTTATCTGATTCCAAATGATCTCAGTAAAACACGGGTCCTGTATTTCTCACCGTTTACTCAGCCTGGCCCTGAAGTTGCAGAAAGACTATTTAGACTGTGGTGAAAGGGTCAGGAAACCTCTGCCCTGTGAGAAGCAAAGGCTTGTCATTTGACTGTAGTTACCACAGCCGGAGGTATTCATAACCTTAAACACGTACTGAAAGTAGTGGCCGCTTAAGGGCCCGGGGAGATGGTTCAGGAGGCAAAGTGCTCGCACACAAGTGTGAAGATTTGAGTTCAGAGTCCCCGATGCACAGACATTCACAGAGAGAGAGGGTGGAGAGACAGAGAGAGAGGGAGAGAGGGAGGGAGGGAGGACAGCAATTGAGCAATTTGAGCTTATAAATTTGCAAACCCCATTGCTAAATTGTCAAATAGCAATGTTTAAACTTATAAAAAGCTGAATTTGGGTAGAGACATAGTGTATATGATGTGTATAAATGTATTGGCATGTATAATATGTACACACACCTGCCTGCATGCTTCAGTTTCCTCGTCTGGAAATTTGGAGCGTATTCTCATGGTCCTGCTGATTTGTTACAAAGAGTCAATGAGTTACTTGGAGCAAAAGTCCTAGGACAGTGTCTCCACACAGAAAGCCCTCAGCCAAGGCTGTTCCTATTGTCAACTTACCATAACTGTGCTTGTCTGAGTTGTGATCCTTCCTGTCAGCAGTGGAGATGGTCTAGAGACATCATATTCCTCTTTTTGACTCCTCCAAAGGACCTGGGTTCCGTTCCCAGCACCCACGTGATGGCTCATGAGTCTGTATCTCTGGTTCCGAGGGATCTGGCGCCCTCTTCTGGCCCCTAGGGATACTGCACACACATGACAGATACCACGCAGGCAAAACACCCATACAGATAAAATAAAAATTAATAAACCTTTTCAAAAATATATTGCTATTTATCCCCAAGAATTTCATTGTGGAGAAGGAGAAGGGTGAAGTCAGGTGCCGGGTGCTAGCCAGGGCCAGAGCTTGCCTCTATCTCGGCTTCACATGCAGGTGCCAAGATTTAGGTTTGTATTTTGATTTTTTTTCTCCCCTTTCTGTATTGAAGGAACAATGGGAAACCAGATGAGCATTCCACTAAGAACTGGAGACCAGGAGCATGACTCAGGAGCAGACACTTACAAGGTAACACGCTCAGTCCCTGGCACACTGGATACTAGAAAGTGGAGTCCAAAAGGCTCTCTTCTGTCTACCCAGGACTCACTGAAGAGAGCTGGGGTATGAGACTCGCTGCTGTGATTGTCAGTAGGGGGGCTGACATCTTAGAGTCCACCAAGGAGCTGGTTAAAATACAATTTGACCAGAAGCCATGTGGGAATCAGAGTGAGGGGAGTGTTTTCAAAGCTCCTTGATAACTCCACTTACAGCACTGGTGGAGAGTTAGTTAGGAATATCTCCTAAAAGATGGCTGTCGCAAACTGAGGTCAAGGGGCAAGGACCTGAGTTCAATTCCAAGAAACCACATTTAAAAAAAAAAAAAAAAAAAAAGCCAAGCTGTGTATGTCGATTCTGAGTGGGTCAAGACAGGCAGGTCTATGCATCTAACAAGCCAGCTACTTGAGATGACTTGGTGAGTTCCAGGCACTGTCTCCAGACAGGTGAATGTAACCAGAGGAACAACGCATGGAGTTGCCCTCTCAACTCCACAGCTGTGCACACATGTATATGTGTCCTACAGACACACAGAAGCACAGAATAAACCTCCTGTATTTGGCAGGTGTGTTCACAAAAGGCTTGGCTAATGGTTACATTCATGTGGCCAAGACAGACAAGTGAAGCCAGCCTGGCAGACACTGAATCACCATGTGAAATTCTTTCTCAGTTCCTTATGAGACAGTGCCCCTTCTGGTCTGATCTGTGTTGCAGGGATTTGCCTTCCTGTATGAGGCTGGTGAGACGGAGCATGAACCCCAGGGTGCTCTTATGAAGTCAGGAATCCGGCCCTAAAGAGTCATTTTGCTACTCAAAGGCTGGATAGAAAGCTGGCAGTTTCTACAAACATAGCCTTTTAAGTTTGACTCTGGAAGATACTCCTGCAGCCTTGACACTCTCCCATCAGTTCCTCCCGTGATCTGACCACTGAAATCGTCTGTTCTGTTGCAGGTGACGTCAGACAATGAGTGTGTTCAGAATGGGAACCCAGTGGTGGTATCCACTCGTGTGATTCAGCACTACGAGGAAGGTCAGTGCTGAGTGTGAAGACCACTCTGCTGGAGGGTGGGGCTCTCTGGTCCTATGTATGGTGAACAGAGGAAGTGGGAGGCATAGGCTTTCCTCAAAAGCTTGAGTATTTATTCCCAGGGTGGCAGAAACACTGGGCCCACACTGGGTGCTCATATGCCGGGACCTGCCTGTCCTAGGGCGTTAGAGCCAGAATCTAGGTGTCATCAAATTATCTCCTGTGAGTTCTGGAGAAGACCTAGCTCAGGCCATCCTGACTCAAAGATTGCTGGCTTTTCCCTGTATCTGTACAGCATATGCCTCTCCGTGGGTTTATCTGTAGACCTGAAATCCCACTGTCATGAGGAAACAGTTATATTGTATCAGGTCCCACCCTGATGACCTCGTCTTGGTCATCTGAAAGACTGTCTCTAAATGTGGTCACTTTCACAGGGGTTAAAACCTAGGATCTTTGGGGAGATACAATTCAAGCCATGACAGCACTCGTGTGATATACTGGCCAGCTGGGCAAAGCTTTCTCAGTGGACAAGAAGAAGCAATTGAGCAAAAGCCGAGGATCTGGCTTTGGGGGTCAACATACCTAACTTAGGGCCCCCTGCTTGGCAGCTCATTGGCTATGTGACTTGGCACATGTCACATGACACAAGCAAGGTGTGATTCTATTGCAGTTGATGACCAACCCAGCTGTACCTCCCTGCTGCATGCAGGGCTTCCTTACTCGTGTGACTTTGGAGAACTGGAAGATATGAAACCTCAGACACCCCAGAGATCACAGACTCAGAGGACAAACCATTCCACATATGTCCAGTCCAGACCTAATTAATTACCCGTTTAGAAAGATGGGCTGTTCTGAGGCTGGAGAGATGGCTCAGTGGTTAAGAACATCTGCTGAAATTCTGTAGGATATGGATTTGATGCTCAGCACTCTATACATAATGGTTCAGGATCATCTATAATGCCAGTTCTGAACATCTGATGCCTTCCTTAGGCCTCCACAGGCTCCTGCATGCCTGTAGTATACATGAACTCACACAGTCACACATGCATACTCATTTTAAAAAGCCATTGTACTTTTCTACTTCCTAAGTTATCAGTTACAGAAAGGCCACAGCCCCACTGCTGTTTGGCAATCTCTTTCCACCAGGTGAGGTAAGAGGAAGTCAGCCACCCAGCTTATCTGTGCCACTAAAAGCAAGCAGAGATGGCACTGAGCCCGGAGATCCCAGGAATGGGATCAAAAGGGGCTTTTAACCACCGTGGAAGACAATTGTTCTCTGGTCTGGTTTCGTTATGTTTTGTTTTTGCAAAGGCCCCTTCACACCTCCCCTCCAGAACTGCAAGGCAAAGATTCGACTAAAACCAAGCTGTCTGAGCAGAGATTGACTAAAGCAAGCTGTCTGCATCTGCCGTTTAATTAACATTCTGCTCCTTTATCACAGAGATGTGCTTTAAAAGACACATCTATTCTCCGGAAAGGCACCTGAGTCACCTTCACTCTTAATCAGACTTGAAGTTTAGGGCAGGAGCCAAAGGAGGCAGGGAGTGAGCACTGGGGACGTCAGAGAGGCAGGGTGGGCAGGGAGGATGGGCTGGACTCACGGGTGGCTCCCGGGACTCTGGGGGTGATGCAATCATTACTCCAAGGATCCCATGTTCTCTGTTGTCATATCATAGAGATGCTGACTCATGCGTGTGGGTGGCCTTTGTCTGGGTCCGTGAGAAAGAGGAAGGGTTTTTATCCCTTCACCTGGACAGTTGGGGATCTTGGAGCTGATCCTCGTCCTCACTGAGGGTGTATGCGTTGGGATGCAGTGAGTATCCGCAAGGTGTGTAGTCATGAAGGCACAGAGCATCGCAAGTGAGGGGAAGTCCTGTGCAAAACTATTGTTCCTCCTCCAAGATGGAGTCACCCTGGGACCTGTGAGCATGATACCTTACCCGTGGGTGACCAAAAAGGCTCTGTGAGTGGGTGAGATAAACAGGTGCTCCTGACCTATTCGTGGTCTTATGTTGCCCAAAGGGTCATCATAAAGAAAGAGGCAAGAGGGGCAGAGTGGAAAAAGAGGAGGTGACATTGGGAGCAGATGTTAGAGGGAGGGAGAGAAAAGGGGAGAGATAGGGTGCACTTAAAGATGGATACCGGTAGGCTTGACTGTGGAGAAGGGGACCATAAGCTAAGTAGCCCTCACCCTCAGAACAGGCATGGCAATTTCTAGAAGCTGTCCCACTTTACCTTCTGACCTTCTGAGCTCTAAGATACTTGTGTTAAGCCCCAGGATTTGTAGTCATTTGGTCCCAGAGTGCATGCAGGCACTGCGATCTAACCAACTTGATTTGGGTATGGGGTGGGGGCGGGGCAGCAGGGGCAGCTCTGCCACTTGCTAGTTGTATAATGGTGGAATGGAACAGCACTGTCCAAGATTTTCCTGTAACGTGGGAACAATGCCATTTTCTCTGGCCATAAAGAGCATGTAAGAACAGCAGCTCTGAAGGACAAACTTGAGGGACTAAAGGAGGGTCCAACTACAGACAACGTAGACTGCACCGCCGACCTGAGTCACTGCTGCCCTGAGCCAATCAGTCTGACCTGACCAGGTTTTCCCTCTTGGTTGTTTCATTCCTAAAATGTCACAGATCTTTGGGGAAATAAAAGTACCCCCATCTCTCTCTATCTCTGATTCTGTTCTAGTAAAATTTATCCTCTTTAAAAGACAAAAGTCTCCATCCTTACAGCCAAAAGATGGCAGAGCCCAACACTCGACTGGTCTGCCAGAGTGCGTCTTTCCCCCGAAGTTGATGCCTGTCTGCCACACATGGATAAGGAGTTTCTTAGAATTAATATCTTCCCTTCATCCCTTGTGAACTGTTCTTAAAGAAGGAACTATCTAATTTTGCACCCTTGGAATACGTGTGTGTGTGTGTGTGTGTGTCTATGCACACGTATGTGGAATGAGCTTAGTGAACTGAAAATTCTCTACTCAAGTTTAAAAAAAGGTTTCTGCTGGTGATACAATGAGTAAGAATTTGCCAGTCTTGATCCCTGAGGAATTGTTTCAGACAATGCCCCAAATCATAGCTGCCTGACAGTGGAAAAAAAGGATGGACCCCGGGCAGACACTAATAATATCTGTTTCCTCCGAGTAGCTTCTGTTCCTGCCCACTCTGCTTTTGTTTGGGGTTTTGTTACTCATTCTGACCCTGAAGTCATTCCTCCTGCCTCATCCTACCTTAGCTGGGGTTACAGGCCTGAACATTTCTACATTTTAGAAACACTTCCATGACTTGAATGAAAGTCTGATGGGGGGTTGGGGATCAGTAAAGTACTGGAGTCAGGAAAGTTGATCCTCAGAATCCAAGTTAAAATATAAATCTATAAAGGCTGGCCTAGAGTCTTCTGCTTATAATCCCAGCACTGGAGAGAAGAGAGAAATAGATCCTAGACTCACGGGCCAGCCGGTCTAGTCTACTTGGGAAGCCGCCAGCCAGGAAAAGAGAGAGATCTTGTCTCAGAAAAACATAGGTAACACCAGGGAAATGATGCCCAAGGTTGGCCTCTGGTTTGCGTGCAAGTTCACACCTGCACATATGCAGCACCGCACACATAGCTAGACACACGTGAACATACACATACATATGAGGTTAAATAAGTCATCTACGTTTTAGAGGTTTCTGGGAGCCAAGGGCTGGCTGTCACCTGTTGTAACATGGCCAGAGCTCAGTTCATGTACTGTACTCAAGGCCTGGACCCGCACTGCCTTCTCCGGACTTCTGGGAGATTCACTTGTAAATCCTTGGATGACTGAGGAGGAGAGAGACACAGAAGTTGCACAGAGCTAGAAGTGCCCTGTCTCCACAACTCTGTGTGTGACTCCTGGGAGAAGACATCGGAGATCCTCCAGGGACAGGCTCTGCTTAGGGTTCTCACTTAGAACCCTCCCACTCAAAACATCTGCAAGAGAGCTCTGGGCTAACACACTACCCAGCAGACCCTAGAGTCGGCCACTTCTGCCGCTGTGTCTACATCACTACTTTATATGCCCCAAAAGACGGGCATGAGAAAAATTTATACCCATCATCCTAACTGTCACCAGCATCAATAATGGCCAACGTCACCATCTCTATCGGCCAACATTATCACCATGGTCATAATCATCACCAATAAAGATGATTTCTTTCATCTGCTTTGAATCCTGTATCTCTTCTCTATATCTTTCTTTTCCTTTCATTTTCTCTTTCTTTTCATTACCCGTACATTTATTCTGCTTTTATTTTTTCTTTTCATGCATATGCGTGTTTACATGTATGCTGGTGTGTGTGTATATATGTGTGTCTGTGTGTGTGTGTGTACATGTGGAGGCCCAGGGTTGACGTCACTAGTCATTGTTCGTTTCTCTTCCACGTTATTCTTCAAGGCAGGGTCTCTCAGTCAAACCCTGACCACACCAGTATGGTTTGCATTACTAACCAGCTTGCCCTGGGAACCCCTAGGTCTCTACCAGCAAGGCTGATACTGAATTACAGGCAGGCTGCTGTGCTCTCCTAGCATTCGTGCGGGTTCTTGAGGCTTGAACCTAACCCCCTCGCTTGTGGTGAAGTTAAAGGCTGAGCTGTCTCCCCAGCCTGGTCTGTGCAGTTTAGCCGCAGGATGTGAGCGGGGCCAGTTCACTGAGACCGTAATCATTTTGAACAATGTGCGTAACCAGGCGGAGGCTGAGCTGGGACATGGTGTCTCCACTTCTAATTTCAAAGGCTCTTGGGCCCCATTCCAAATCTCCTTCTTCAATGTGCCTGGATTGCTTCATGCTTTCGGAGTTCACCTCGCTGTGGCAAGCATCTGAAGTTCATTATTCCCCTTTAAGAGTCTAGCGTCCGTTGCACAGTGACCACGCTGACTCACTCATAAGTGAACAGACATTTCCATTGTGGGTGTTCGCACACCAACACTTACGAGTACCACATCCCTGTGTATTGGTGAGCTAATTTTTGTGTGGATATATGTTT